CTAAATTATCTGATGTTTGTGGGTGGGTCAAACATGCTTGGGAAGAAATCCCAAATGAAATGATTATGGAGTCTTTTGAAACTTGCAAGATATCAACTCCTTTAAACAGATCAGATGATGAAATCACTAGTGATATCAATAGTGATGAAGTTGATGATATCGATAGTAATGATGATATCAATTGCGATGATGATAAGGACATCAATAAGGACGTCGATGATGATGATGATATTGTCGATGGTGATGATGGCATTGACAATGATAATAATGTCATTGATAGTGATGATAATGCCAAATATTTACCATAGTGGTTTAGTTTAATTAATATAAATGCTTTAATGAAAAATGTTACAGATCGGTATTGAGAATTTTGCAATATAATAAAAATATAAAAAATGCACGTTTTTGATAACAATTTAATATTTATTTAAATATTTATTTGTTAATTACTAAAACAACTAAAAAAATTTAGTTTTCAAGGGGGTGCTTATTTTCAGAATCATAATAATTTAGGGTGCTTACTTTCGGGATGCTTAATTTTAGAATGATACAGTACTTAAACATTATCTTTTACCTTTTCTTAATGAACTTAGACCTAATAGCTATACTTTCAAGATGATAATGCTCCAGTACATGCAGTATGATTCATAAAGGGTTAGAAAGAAGAAAATTTACATCAATCACTTTCTTGACCAGCACAGAGCCCTGACATCAATCCAATTGAGAATTTGTGAAATGTATTAGAAAGAAAGGTCAGGATGCATAGTCCTAAACCAAAAAATAAGTCGGAACTTTTAGCTGCTTTTAAAGAAGAATGGTACCAAATTGAACCTGAAAGATTATTAAAGTTAGTTGAAAGTATGCCTCATAGAATTAAGGCTGTAATAAAAAGTAAGGGGTATCCTAAACTATATTAGTATTATTTTTAGATTAATATAAGCTAATGAATGGTTAAAATTTATGTGTTTTTACTAAAGATTATAATGTTGTAAAATAGCTAAAAATTTCTTAATTATCTAACAAAATTTCATAAAAAAATTTATAATTATATATTTCAAATAAACAAAAAAGGTTACTTAGTAATAAAAATTACGTTAAGACCAAACATTTTAATGTTATACTATAACTAAAGTTTTTATTAGAAAATGTATTATTTTAAAATAAATTTTAAATTATAATAGTTCGACCAATTTTTACATAAATTCTTTGAAATTTTTATGTTTCACGTGATATGTTATGATGAACAACTTTACTTATGAAACGAAGTTACATTTATTAATAAAAAAAAAGTTTACTTATATCCAACTTTACCCAATTAATTTAGTAATTTGCATAGTGTCCGGATACTTTTGTCCTGTGTGTGTAGTTTTGTTATTTTTTATAAGTTTTGATATAATTTTATCTTTTTTTAAGTTTTATAAAATTTTACTTGTTTCTACTTAAATAATTTATAAACTCTGGGTTTTATCTAAGAACCTTAATTTATATAATATAAAAATTAGTTTAAAGCTTTATTTTAATAATAAACTATTAACGATTATTATTAGTTAAAATAGTATAACAACAAAACATTGGTCAGAAAGGTTAGAAAATATACTCTAACAAAATTTTATTTCTTTAACCAATCTTTCCATAAAGCAAAATTCACTGAACAATTGCAACGAATAAATTATCATGAATATTAAGAATTTGGTAAATTTATTATTTTTTAAAAAAAAATTTTAATATCGTAGACGACTTTTTAGGCTATTATAACAAAATTATTTGCACGATGTGAAAAATCTTATTGGTTAGCATAATCTTGTAGGGACGTGTGATATTAAAAAAAAATGCTAATGAATAAGAATCGACAATTCAGTCCTTGTCAGCTCTACTTGGACGACAACGTCGTGCTAATAATTTTTTTTAGGTGGTTAATTTTTATCCTCAGGGAAAAAAGAACGACACGTAAATGAAATCTTACCACAAGGTTCACAAGTCACTCTTTTTTCATTAATAACACGTTTTTGGTCATAAGCAGGCTTTGGTTCGACAGGGAGGCGATAACGAGCAGGGGATCGTCTAATTAAACATCTTGGTGCTAAATAGGCGAAGAATCTTTTTTAAATTTCTAATTTTCCTAATTAATAAAAAAAAAAAAAAGGGACGATTTACTTACAACATGGTCTGCAATTGGGTCTAAATCTTTCATCTCTGATCGAAAAAGACAAGCTGGCTAAAAAAATCAAGACAATAAAGATTGTAAGAGAAAATTTCATCGTTTTGAATGTAAAGGTATAAGGTAGAGAGATGAATTCGAGTAAATTTGAACTTTTATTAAAAATTTGTGATGAACTTGTGGTGAGAAAATCTCGGTTTAAATAATGAATTTTTTTTAAGAAATAAAGTGATCTCTTAATTTTAAAATTGAATCCGTTCTTTTAAGACTCGATTTGGTATTATAGGGAAAAAACAAAGACGCAACAAGTTATTACAATATATAATTTCACCTGATCGACAAGATTTCAGATTGGTTTCAATAAATCTCTTGCTATTCCACACGAAAAAAAAAACGTACAGTATGCAAGGTAATTTACTTAATTAGTTGTCAAAAAACTGTATATAGTGGAAAGAATGATAACAATAGGTTTTCTATAAGAAATTATCTATAAATAAATAAATTTTCGTTATAATTATCATCTCCTTCAAATCCATATTTATCAAAATTTTCAGTTTTGAATAAATTTGTAAATGTACTACTATGTTTATCAATCCTATCCAATCATCACTTTGCATTGGAAAATTGGAAAGTAATAACGCGCTCACCATATGATTAACATTATAATTTGAAAATAGTTTTTGTTTTATTTGATGACATCATTAAAATTAATTAGTAACAATTCTTTGAAATCATTCTTGTCTTTTCAAAAAAATCTTTAATATGTTGTTTATCAATGAACTTCCTCAATAAAATTCTGTTGTTAGATTGATAATCAATAATAGGGTTGGTTTATTTCTCTTCACAAATTCCCAATTTTTTTTTTTAAAAAAAAAAAATTAAACGTGTTTTATTCCATGATCAAGAAAGAAAATCTCTAAACCGATTGTATTTATAATTTGAACGGTAGACAATAAATTGGATTCTCTCCTAGCGAACAAGCGAATTAATGAAAAAATATGACAAATGGAAAAAAAAAAGAAATGATTATGATAAAATATCTTCTTGATTTTCAAATTTTTCGCGATATACTTTATAAATTATCAAGTATCGAGGTAAGACATTCTAATTAAAGATAAAAAAGAAAAGGTAAAAATAAAAAAAATGAATTTAAAGAAATGAAAAAGATAAAGAAATTTGAAAGAATATAGATAACATTACTTCTTGAGCTTCAATTACGATAGAATTTGAGTATGGCTTCCCATGTATAACGTTCATGACAAACATGGCTCTAAATCCATCATCATTTAGCTTCAAAGGACCGGTATATTCATGTGCCATAGACACTGTAGGACTATACCAAAGATACGCTAACCATAATAATGATAAAGTTAACTAATTTTATTTGAAAGCGAAAAAAAAATAAATCACACATACTTCCAGCCAAGTTCGGTTTTGCTTTCGACAACAAAGGTCCAAATTTCAAAATTCCACAAACACCTGAAAGCAAAAATAAAAACAGTCAACAATATATCGACCATCATCAATTTAGTAAGAAGGAAATTAATATTGAAAGTATTACCACATTCGGAGTTATTGCATAATTTTCTCCAATCATCTAGGTTCCAGATATCACAAGTGTGCTTTGTACCATGAAATAATCGTAGTAAATTTGGGTTCTCCCAAGTCCACATCATAACTGAATCAAATCTATTCGTGAAAGAACAATCCATTTCGATTTTTAAAATTGAGTGAATAGTATAAAATGTAGACGAAATATTGAAATCGGAAATGATATTTTGATATTCCTCGTCTTTTATCGGAAGAGGCGTTATTGTTCTCATATTTATGAGTTTTTTTTTTTTTTTTTTTTTTTTTTTTGTAAATTCGGATTAATTTATTAACGTCATGAAATCATAAAATTTTATCGATATATTTATTAATTAAATTATATATAGTACATAAAAAAAAAATATTATCAATATCACGTGTAATGAGGTAAGGCTGCGGTAAATATCAATGAGACATGCTATAGGTTATGGCGCAATAGGCATCATTTATAGTTATAATTAACTCAATCACCGAACGTAAGCTAATTAATAGTATAAAGATGTGAAAATTTTGAAAAATGAACGTATGTAATAGAAATCGTAAATTTACCTATTTAAATTACTTTTGATTCTAATAAGAATGCACCCATTGCTATTTGGTAATTCCGACTTATCAGAATTTGCCAAATTTATTGGATGACATTAACAAGAGTTATATTTTCGTTAAACAAACACATATAGTTGGCTAGCTGATATATTTTCATCTATATGCGTACTATCAAGGTAATGCGAACCTAACATTAATTAAAAAAATTATTGGTTAATGAATGAATAAACTTCATTTTTAATTAATCCAAACGTCATGATTATTTCGTTGTCAGATTTGGATTGTTCACATTGTTAACATCAATAAAGAAACCATGAAGAAAATAATCGGTTCTTTAATCAGAGCTTGACTCTATGTTCGTATCATCATTTTTCAAATTAAGATATATATATTTTTTCTTAAAAAAAAAAATATATATATATATATTCATGATGTTTAATCAAAACGAAATCCTTACCATAGTGAATATATAAAATTAGAATCAAATACAACTTGTTCCAATAAATACTTATTGCCGACATCCATTAAAGAGATCTTTGGATCAATTATTCAAACATCTTGTCGAAAAATATAACAACCGTATAAAATTATTTTAAAGAAATGGATGGAAAAAAAAATTTTTTTTTTCACTGATCAAAGTATTTATTTAAGATATTCACGTGATCATAATGATGATCGTGACTGACGATCGTGATTGGTCTTAGATTGATTGATAAAAATTTATTATTTATTTTATAAAAAATAAATTGTAATTAATATAATTATAATAAAAATAATATAAAAATATTTAAAAACTATAACAAAATTATTTAATTTAAAAGTTTATTTTTTTTAAATTAAAATATAAAAATTAATATTCTTATAAATTAAAATAACATAAATATTTATTATTAATTTTAATAATAATTCATAAAAAATATTAAGCAGAAACAAAACACTTAAAATTTTTAATAATTGGAAAAATATCACTATTTTGTTTTACTAATACTATAAAATATTACTATAATAGCTTTATAGTATATATAATAACAGCAGATATTTATAATATACATATAATTTATTAAGATATTTTTTCTAAAAAGAAATTTATATTAATATTAGCTATTTTATAATTCAACATTTAAATTTTATCAAAAATAGATAATAAATTAATAATAATATTATTAAAAATAAATATTAATTTTTTACAAGTGTTATTATATATTATAATTATTAAATAAGTTTATAAATTTAATTAAATAAAAAATCATAAAAAATAAGAAATTTAAAAGTAATTAAAAAGAAATTATTAAAGTTATTAATTATTATAAAATAAAATAAATAAGAAAATATATATAATAAAAATTAGTTTTTAATATTTAAAAAGAATATAATAATAAAAATAAAAATAAGAAACTTTTAAATAAAAATATTATATTAATAATTATTATTTAAAATAAAGCAAAAAAATTATTATGATTTTTTTTAACTATGATTTGATATTGAAATAAAAATCAAATAAAATCAAATTTTTATTTAGAAATATTTATAAAATTTTATAAAAATTATAAATAGAAAATTATATAACTTTTATAATTTAATAGTAAAATTTACTTAAAAAATTTAATTTTTATAAAATTTAATAACTTATAAAATATACTTTTATATTTAATATATAAAATTATTTTACAAATATATTATATATTTTTAAAATATATCATTTTTTTATAATTTTTAAATACATATTTTTTATATTTTTATTTATAAAATTAATAAAAAAAAAAGAATATTTTAAAAATTTTTATAATAAAAAGCTGATATTTTAATTAAAAAAAATATTTTAAATTATTTTTAATAAATCTATTTCTATTGAATTTTTCTTATTTTTTAACCTATAATTAAATTTGTATCTTATTTAATTTATCAGATTTATAATCTACATAACTTAATATTTTAAATTTTAATGATAATAACTTTCAAATTTATATAAAACTAATTATATATAGATTATTAAAAGAAATTTTTAATATCTATAAATTTATTTATTAGATCTGAAATTATAATAGTTTTATATACTATAAATTCATAAAATTAAAAACTAATGATAAAATTTTTTATCATCATTAAATATAATAATGTCAATTATAATTTTTAATAAAATATATAATTATATCAAATTTTATCATTATATTATATCAGTCATAATTCAAAATCCATTTTATATTAAAGTATAATAAATTCTTATTATATAATTCTAAAATTAAATATTCTTTAAAATTAAATATTTTATATTTTATAAATATATCTTATAAAAATTATAACAAATTATTATTATTTATTAAAAAAATATATATATATAAATAAAAAATATTATTATTATTTATTTTTATTAAAAAATAATATTTATTAATATTACTATGTATAAATCTATTTTTAAAAAGAATTATAAATATAGATATCTAATAATTTAATATTTTAAATACTTTATTGTATTATTATAAAATCTATTATATTTAATTTCTTTAAATTTATAAATTTTAAGTTGTAAAATTATATTTAAACTTTGTTTTCTTTATTTTTATATTAGTTATATAATTTTTTTTAATTTTAAATAAAAGATTTCCTATTAGAATTAACTTATTTACTAATTTGATTTATTTTAATTATTTAACTTTTACTTATCTTAACTTAATGATATATTTTTATATTTAAATATTTTAAGAAAATTTATATTATATTCCAAACTATTTTAATTAAGTTCAATATTTTAGATCATATTTTAATAATATTCAATATTTTAATTATATTACTATTAAAATTGAAAATTTTTATTATTTTATTTTTATCATATTTTTTAATATAGATGATAATTTTTTTTTATTATATAAACTTATTGAATTATTAAATCTTAATATATATAATTATTAAATATTCAATCAATATAATAAAATATTTTATATTTATAGTTGATATAATATTATAAACAGATTTTCTAATTTATAATATATAGTGTTAAATTTATAAAAAATTATAAGTATTTCACTTATAAACATTTGTTAATATCAAAAAATTAAAAAAGATAAAAAATAAAAATATGTTTATTTTAGAACTCTAAATCAAATTAGATCAATCTGTTTACTTGACTTGACCTAACTTAAAAATTCAAATCAGATCAGTAGATTTTCAGGTTAATATTAAATTAAATCAACAGATTGACCTGATCTGATAAGACAAAATTCAGATTAACTAATCATCATTCTTAAACTATAGTTTTATCATTCTTGAACAATAATTTTATTATTCTTAAATTATGATTTTATCATTTAATTAAAATGATAGTTTTATTATTTTTGAACAATGATTTTATCATTCTTGAACTATTATTTTATCATTTTTGAACTATTCTTTTATTATCTTGAACTATAGTTTTATTATTCTTGAACGATATTTAATTAGTCAATAGAACGATTTGTTATTATAGTATATCTTTTCTATAACAAATTTTTTTATAGCAGACAATTTAATATAGAGAAGTAAATTGCATAAACATATTTTTTAATAATTAAAATTTTCTAATATAATGAATTTTTATAGTAAAAATTCTGTAACCATAATTCAAATTTAAATAATAAGACAAATATATTAAAAGACACTTAATATAGTAAAAAATTTTGCTATATCAAATTTTTAAAAAGTTACACAATTAATTAATGAATTTTAATCACGTAAAATTTTATTTGAATATTTTAAATTTGTTTTTAAAAGCTAGAAATTTTGCAATTAAAGTTAAAAAGAAAAATTATCATAAATAAAATCATGATTTATTTTGATTATAATACAGTAATTATAATCTTGATTCAGTTAGTTCTTTTTTTTATATGTTACCATACCTAAAACTAAAAGCATACGAAATAAATATTCTTAAGTAAAAGTAAAAATAAAATGATTTAAGATAAAACTTTGCCAAAAAGAGTATTTTTAATTATTGCTTAAAAACATAAAATATGTTTTAAAAAAATTAATGAATATTGTATAAAAAATAAAGAGTTAGTAAAAATATATAATATCATTGAAAAATATATTAGTAATATATTAAAAAAATATAAAAATGGCTTAAAATTGATTCTCAAACACCCGAAGCTCAAAAAAAAGATATATTAAGTTGAATTATTTGAAAATTGAAGAAATTCTTACGTTATGGGTATTAAAAGCTTTAGAAAATAGTATTAATATTAGTGATTAGATTTATGTAAAAAACTATGACATTCACTTCTCTATATAAAGTTGAAAATTTTAAAGAAAGTAATAGTTGGATTGGTGAATTTAAAAAAAAATATAACCTTTTCTATTATTTAAAATAAGAAGAGATTGTAAGTGTATCTTTTGATAAACTTGATAAATACAGAAAAAAATCTTTAAGATTTAATTTGTGAGTATAGCCTTAAAGACGTTTTTAATTGTAATAAAATTGAATTATATTAAAAAATAGAACCTAAAAGAACAATCTTTAATAAACTTGTATCTAAAAGGAAATAATTTAAGAATCAGATGATAATTCTTCTTTATACTAATACAACTAGTACTGAAAAACTCAAATCAGTATTTATTCACAAATATAAAATTCACATTCTTTAAAGAATTTATTTAAAGCATCTTTATAAGTAGAATATTATTAGAATTCAACAGCTTGAATGTAGATTTTTATTTG